AGGGAAAGAGCGAATATAAAGATAGGAGACGAAAAATTAGAAGAAGTGGCTGATTTTAGATACCTAGGAAGTCAGATAAGTGAGGATGGAAGGAGTAGTAGGGATATAAAGCAGAGGATAGCGCAGGGTCGTGTCGCCTTTAATAAAAAGAACTCACTTCTATGCTCGCGAACGGTTAATTTAGAAATTCGAAAAAGGTTGCTAAAGATGTACGTTTGGAGCACGGCGTTGTACGGCGGAAAAGAAAAGGTTAGAAGCATTTGACATATGGTGTTATAGGCGGATGATGAGGATAACGTGGGTAGAAAAGGTTAGAAATGAAGAGGTATTAGAAAGAATAGGAGAATAGAGGACTCTATGGAAGTCAATAAGAAATAGGCTAGATAGATTGGTAGGACACCTTCTCAGGAATGAAGGTCTAGTCAGAGACTATTAGAGGCACAAACAGGAGTTAAGATGGGTAGAGAAAAAAACTACAAAATACAATAGAATAAAAAAACGAATTAGGTGAAGAGATGATAGAGAGGATGATTGGGTATATAGAGAAACGATAGGGGTAGTGAAAGTAAAGAATAGGGAGTTCCGGATGGAAAGGGGAAAAAGCCAGAAATATAAGTTGAGTGCGCAAATGTTCAATATATACAGGGGTGACGTAGAAGAAAAAATATGTAGGGATACGGAGGGTAGAGTAGGACCATAGAAAAGGTCAAAAAATGTAACTACCTGAGATATATGGTGAGGGATAATTAACAAGGATAATTATAAATAATCCAGTAGGAGAGGCAAATGCAATAATGGAAAAAATATCGGGAATTGGACAAAAAACGTTTGGGAAAGAAGGATGATTTTATTCAACACAGTAGCAAGAAGCGTTATCTTCTATGAGAAGGAAATATGGAGGTCAAAAATGTATTGCTAATCAAGTAGAGAGTATTTATAAAAAGTACATAAAGTAGTTGTTAAAAATGGAACGAAGCGCGTCGGACTGTATCTTAAATAGATAAACGAAATGTACAGAAATGGGGACGAAACTAGAAGGAGAGCAATCAGATATGAGGAAAAATTGAAGCATTTATAAGGAGGCATGAGGAAAGAAATATGAAAAAAGAAGTCATGGGTTTTGGAATGCACAAATAGATATGATGAACAACAAAAACAAAGCGTTGATACACTTAATTGGAGACTCCAACGTGCGATTAAGCGACGAACCCATCAGTTCGTGACTTTAATATTTAATAAAACTCATTTATTTAATATATTCATTTTATATGATAGTAAAATAGTTTTTTTTACTATTATTTTTATTCTCCAGTGCATACTGAATTAGACCTGCATATATTCAATAAAGTCGAAACTTTGATTCAATAAAACTCATTCATATTGTTAAAATATTTAATGTCGATCAATTTCTGACAAATTTTAAAGTTTTGTTGGTATTAAGATGACGCGCAAATTACTGGGTCCTGTACAACAGCCACCTGTTTTATTCCACCAAGACCATTCGCTTGAAGAATTCGCTGTACTGTTGCGTTTTGTGCTGGAGTTAAACTTCTGCTCCGGCTCATCACGTACAGAAATTCTAATAAAACAAAAATTTAATACTTAATATATTAATAAATAACGCAAGTTAGTAATGTACTGCTCGGCTAATACGTATTCGTCAACTAGCACTTAAAAACTTAAATATCGGAAAAATGAGTCGATCAGAATAAGAAGTGCGTTAAGGTGGTGAGACGGGTGATGCACGGCATACGTTTGCCAACCTCTAATACCGTCTCTTAAAGATAAATTTCGCGAGTCAATTCCAATTTTATTTAATTTAAAATTTTCTCAGTGCGTCACAAAATAGGTTGCCTAGTAGATTTAGTTCGATAAGTAGATGCTTTCGCCACGTCATTATCAAACACTACGAAATATATACTATATTAGTAAATTTTTGTAGATGGCGATGGACTACCAGTTATTTGACATTACAAAGTTTCCAGTCCATAAAATTTTCGACATAAACATAAACACTAATAGTTAGAAATAAATGATTCTACCCAAATGTTACTACTAAATATTAGATTTTAGGGGAGACCGGGGATGGTTGACTACTTTTTTACTGAATAGTTCATATTTTTTGTGTTTTAATAAATATAGACAAGAAAAGCATGTTAATTGATAGAAAATCTATTAACCTAATAAAAATATGTAATATTTAGTTCTTAGTTTAGTATAATAGTGATGATTTAATGCATTTTACAAAATATTAAATCTTAGTCAATCTACCCCTGGCCCGGGGTAGGTAGACCATATGCC